TGCCAAGAAGATGCTGAACAAAACGCTTGTGACGAAGCAGACGGGACCCAAGGGACAGAGGGTGAATTTGCTTTACGTCACTGAGGCTGTGACGGGTATCAAGCGTGAGCTCTACCTTGCACTTCTGCTTGACCGCAAGACAGCCTCGCCAATGTTTATTGGAAGCGCCGAGGGTGGTATGGGCATCGAGGAGCTTGCGCAGAAATGCCCCGAGAAGATCAAGCGGATGCGCATTAATGTTCAGGAAGGCATCAGTCATGACAACTGCGTGGCCTTTGCAAAGGAGCTCGGTTTCAGTGGCCGCGCTTCTGAAAACGCAGCGGAGCAGGTGAAGGCGCTCTACAACGTTGGCAAGTCGAAGGACTGCACGCAGGTGGAGATCAACCCACTTGTGGAACTGGAGAACGGCGATGTCATGTGTATTGATGCGAAGCTTTCTTTTGACGACAACGCTGAGTTCCGCCAGAAGGACATCTTCAGCCTTGCGGACGACACGCAGATTGACCCCAAGGAGGTGCTTGCCAAGAAATATGACCTCAACTACATTGCCTTGGATGGCAACGTTGGCTGCCTTGTGAATGGTGCTGGTCTCGCAATGGCGACAATGGACCTCATCTCCATGAACGGCGGAAGACCCGCGAACTTTCTTGACGTTGGCGGCAGCGCCACGAGGGAGCAGATCGTGGCCGCCTTCCAGATCATCACAGGCGATGAGAAGGTCAAGGGCATTCTTGTGAACATCTTTGGTGGCATCATGCGTTGCGACATTATCGCTGAGGGTATTGTGGCGGCCTCACGCGAACTGAAGGACCGCAACATCCCTGTTGTTGTGCGTCTCAGCGGCAGTAAAGAGGAGGAGGGCAAGCGCATTCTACAGGAGAGCGGCCTCCCGCTCCACCCCGCCCGCAACTTCGAGGAGGCAGCCAAGCTCGCCTGCAAACTCGCGGCGGAGTCAGCGTAAAGTTCCGGGCCCAGCGGGGAGCTGCGTTTAATATGTAATCACGAGAAGAACGGGGGAGGGTCCGGCTCGAGTCAGAAGGGGCCCGTTCCTCCCCCTCCACGAGTGACACGAGGAAAGGCATGAGGGGCGAAGGGAATAACGGATCCACATGAAACAAACAAATTCCCCGAGAGAAGATAAAAAAAAAAAAAATAAAAATTTAAAAGAATACTATCAAATAAATGAAATTGCAGCAACATCAACGAAAAAAAAAAAATATGCAAAATAACAGGCATAATATAAAGAAGGGCGAGGAAGAAGGGAAAAGGGCGGACAAATGTTAATCCTGAGGACTAAAGGGGAGGAGAGAGGTGTCAAACAGATTAACAGGAACAACACAAGAGCACAAAAGTAAGAAATACGCCACCGCAGTGAATTGACTGCACGGGGATTTACTTCAGTTTTTTTTTTTTTTTTTTTGTTTTTTTCTTTAGTTTTTTTCCCTTCTTGCTCCCGATTGCGCCTTTGCTGAAGGCACACACCTCTTTTGATTACTGCCGAGTAACCCTTTTCTTTGCGTGTGTGTGTGTGTGTGGCTTGTAGTAAATAATGGGAGAGAAAGAGAGAGCGAGAGGGATGGAAGGGAGGCAATTCGTGCGATCTACTTCTCTGTACACATGTGTGTGCACGTAACCCGCATGCACACATGCATGTATATATATATATATATATACATATCAGGGGAGGGCTGTGGTGTCCTCAGGCATATGCGGTACAATAGTCACCCACGCAAGAGCGCAGGCAGATGTGCATATTTATGTGCATTTCCATTTCTTTTCGTTTATCATTGTTCCTTATGCCCCATGAATGGAAGCCCACACGAGAAGGGGAGGAAAGGAAAGGAAAACAAGGAGGACAGAGGTAAAAAAAAAAAAAAAAGAAGCGGCAGAAGGATAAAAACAAAACAAACAACAACAACAACACAAAAAACAAAACAAGAGAAACAATAAATGTGATTCCTTTAAGTGGTTCGGATACGAATATATACATAAACTTCCCGGTGGTTTGTTGTGCGGGCCTGCCTGCACAGGAACATATACTGTGACATCCCTTTGCTCACCGACGCCGACACGCACGCACGGATCCCTTCTACCGGTGTGTTAAGCGATGCAGCGTGTTGGGCGTCATGACTTTTTTTTTTCTTTTGATTTTTACTTTTTTCTCCCCATTTTTTTTTTTCTTGCTTTTGCGGTTTGG